GAACTTCGGGGAGTCAGGCTCAAGCTTCCTAAAAGTCCTCAAGACATTGACAGTACGAGGGGCGGCTGATGTTGGCGCTTCGATAGGGGAATAATTTGCAGAACTTCCAGGCTGTCTAACCTTCTCATGTACGACAGCATGGAACGATAGCTGTCCATCATGCCTATTGACGGAGAAAAGATCTTCAGATGGGGTAGGGGAAACCAAAGGAGGCAGGTTCTTGCTAGTGGTATTGAAACGCTTGACAGGAGAGCCAGATGAAGATGCAGTAGTGGCGGGGGAATGGATGGGGTTCCCAGACAACGGTGTAATGGGAGGGGTTGGGTTCTCTGGTCTCGGCGCGGGAATTAACCTACCTTGAGTCACGGTCGGCGAAATGAACATTGGATCGACCACAATAATCGCGTCAGAGGTGTCCAACGTCAAACCCTCATCCACAACATCTTCATCGGCGACATCCGGTGTTTCGGGGTAGTACGAGGCATCTGATACTTCAGAATGGGCTGTCTGGGGAGTTACAGGTGAGGTAACTTGTGATTGAAAGACAGCGCTGAGTGGCGGGGTTGGAGAAGAACTCGGCAAGTCAGCTGCAACTGAGGATACCTCAGTTGCCACAGAGACTTCAGAGAAGACGCTGTCGGCAGGGGTGGGGAGGGGGGACGTGCCAGCGGAAGTGACATCGGGTACAGAGACGCTTTGGATGGAACTGACAGGTGAAACTTCGTCCACCTGGTTTGTGATTGGTAATTCGTCAACTGTTGTTGCCCGTAGGGGTGAAGAACCAGTAGACGACACAGCGGATGGAGTATCACGAGGCGAGATAGAAATGTTCGACGGTGTTTCATCATCTGCGGAAGGAAATTCCTGAACGGGAGAATGACGATCTATCTCGACATGAAGAGCGGCGTTTGGAAATCTGGGAGATGGTGAATGTGGTGGTGAGATTGAAGATTCATAAATGGGGGTCCCGTCCACAAGGTCCTCAATGTTCCCTGAAGTACCGGAAGATGCAGGCGATGCCGTCTGCGCCTCTACATGAGGTTCTGACACATTTGCCGTGGTCGGCGAAGGAGAAGCAGGGGGATCTATCTCCTCGAGTTCTGGTGGACTAGGTGTTTGAGGTGTTTTTGGCTCATGCGACACTACGATAGCAGGTGCCTCTGGCGCTACAATGTCACCTTCAGGTTGCCAAGGCTCTGCACATGCAGTCTCCGCGACCTCTTCCTCATTCGTCTTCAAAATAGGTGTATCATCTGACTCGGGTGCTAATTGTGTCTGAGGCAAAACATCAGACACGGCACGGCGTCCTGTGGATGTCATTGTCGACGGCAGCCTGGCCTCTCCATTATCCGCATTGAGGAATGGTGGTAATGAATCCTCATCGTAGATATCCAACATTGATGGAGTGACTGGTCTTGAGAATGACATAGACGGTGAAGCTGTATGTGAAGTTGAGATTGTTCGTCTCCTTGCTGCAGCAATACTCTCTATTGCCGGCTTCGACAGCCCCGGCACACGATTGCCATACAGCTCACCCTTACGCTTTGACGATCCATCGTCAACGGGTGGTGCGCCAATTCCGAAACTACCTCGGGGTACCGGAACAGCGCCCTGCTTCTCGAAGGAGGCTATCTTATCCCGAAGCGTGCCCACACGTGAGTTGGTTGGAACGACTGGTGTAGCATGTGTCGTGTGTTGTTCTGGAGTAGTTTTTCGTTGTTCAAGAGCGGCGATACGATCTTTGAGGTTGCCCGGCAGGACAGGTAGTCGTGTGGATGTCCTGTGTAGTATATGAAGTAAGCATATCTGTTGAAACTTTAGTTATACGACTCAGGGTTGACGTACATTTATCTGGCGTTGCAAAAGGATTAGACGGAAATGTCTAACAATACTAGAAAGATTGTTGGAAGTGTCAAAGAAGGAAGGTGCTTGGAAAGGATGGTGACGGCGGAAATCTAGTGCGAGCTCGAGCCAGCGACCGCAACGGATCTGCGCGTCGAATGAAAGTGTGAAAGCAACCACCAGACACTCTGTTCGAGCTGTCTAAGAGAGCAATGGCTGCGACAACGAGCACTGTTGTGGGTTGCTGGGCAGGCTATAGCCTCCTTGATGATGATTGACCAGATCCAAGAGGGGTATATGATGGACACGGTTCACGACGGTGGGTACAATTGCGCACTCTCCGGCCGTCTATTCCAGACGCCCATTCCTAATGATGTTCAACACAACCGACGGATGTAAACACGAGATATTCAACTCGTCTAGCCATGACCGCAGTGCAGTGCAGTGTATTCAAGCGAATGTGTAGTGGTCGACATAGACAACCAAGCTCAAGTCTCTCTGCAAAACATAAACATATTGCACTGCAGACCCGCATAAGATTGGTATCAATCAAATGATTTATATCCCCATATCTACGCCGCCTTTAGACAACCAAAACGACCGCGTTCTCTCTCTCTTCTCTGAGCCCGAATCCTTCTCAGGTCGGTCTCCATCTACGTCATACTCTGCTTCCTCCTCACTAGTCGCAGCATGAGCATCATGGTCGTCGGGTCCGACTCGGACGTCACCTAAATGTACAACGGGCGACGCAGAAACATCTGCATCAGGATGTCCATCCGACTCATCTTCACTAGCATCAGATGTGAAGATGGTATGCTCATCTTGAGACTTTCCTGTCCGTCGTCGTTTGGAAGGTGGCTGGCCCTGTTGGGAATCACGAACATTGGCAATACCATACCTACTTTCCTCTTCCTCGTCATCGTGCTGTGCTATCGAGTGATCAAATGACTGCTCAGCCTCAGTCTCTTTCCAAGCGGATTTCACGCTCTCTTTTGCCTCGTGCGAAAGAGTTTCGGGCATTGGCTTATTCGAATTGCCTTTTGGCTTCTTTTCATCCTTCGGCTGCTTCGCGTCGACAAAGACTGGCACCGCAGGCTGCACTCCGAGCATACGATGTAGCACTCTGCTATCGTATACCTCTTGTACCACCTTTCGGTGATTCACGGTCTGTGCATAAATAACCATTGTCAGCATCGTCCAGCCTTCAGCGAATTCGCTTACCTCCTGTGTGACGCCCATGACTCTCGCAAGAATGCTCAGATCCTCGGGGTCATCATGACGGTATCGGGAATCATGGCGCCCTCGGTGCACATTCATAAGACTCGCGCGAGTATAAGCGGCCGCTGTCATCATGCCATGAGCACCGGCGAAGGTTGTGCGCACTTTAAGAATGTTATACGTTCCACGGGAGATGTCGTTAGCTGTGATAAATGTCAGCCACCATCTCTCATTAAAGCATAGGTATTCGGAGATGTAGAAATGCTTACATGGATCTCCTGGGTCTTCGATACTAAGTAACGACCGAGCACGCCAATCTAGCCAGCCTCTCCGTTGCTTGTTATAATATGTGCCACCATTCCTTAAGGAAATGCCGACCTCCTCGTAGTTGAAATAGCATCCGTAGAGTTCGAAGAACTCCATGACGAGGACGCCTAGATTTTTCATCGGGTCGATTTCCCCTTGTCTAACCTTGGGGTGCATCTGCAGAAAGCTTATTGCAAGACAGACGATACTAAAACTTCCGAGACCACCGGTATAGACCTCGTTCATGCTCCGTTGAGCAAGGAACGACTTGATGATGAGTACGAGGGGACGAAGAGCGGGTAATTCCCGTAGAAAGTGTTTAATGATCGTTCCCGCAGCAACACCATTTTGCTGGTTTATGCTAATGTCGACGGCGAAACGGCCGTGACTGGTAACAAATTTGACGATAGGTACTTTAGCCTTGTCAATGATTGTTACCTTGTCGGCAATGCCTGCTCGCTTGATTGTATGCGCAATTGCACGAAGAACGTTGGTAGTTCTACTATAAGCCATAGAATTTGAGAGGACCACGAGGTCTATATCACTAAGGTCGTCCGTTAGTAGTTGTATCAGATAAGTTTAATATTTACAAACGTACCCTAGAGGCAAATATAGTTTCGTCTCATAACTTCCAAAGGGCAAGACCTGAGCATCCGGAAAGTCTTCGGTGATAGCGTTTCGTATAAGCTCGACCGTCAAGGTTCTCAGCTCCTCTTCGATAGGCGTTGGTGAGATATATTGGATAAATGAATCGACTTCTCTATGTAGCCTGAGTCACGTATCAGACGTCTAAATATTCGCCACCAAGTAACGAAAGAATGATGACATACATTTCAGCCACATTCCGACAACTATCCCAATCCACATCCCATACCCATGGTGCTCTTCTCGATGCAGCATCAAGCCTCTGCTTTTTGTTATCGTATCCATCACGTAAATCAACCTCGTCCACTTTACGTTTCCGACCGTGACCTCGATCATCATTTGCAAGCATCCTACCTTTCCCCTTGTCCCATTCGCGTGCATAAGATTCCTTCCCGTTCGCGGAAGGTGAGCCCGCTCGTTGCTTTCCTTTTCCTTTAGTATCCAGAGCCTCAGGTTCATCCTCCTGTGATTCTGGTTCGTCGTCGAATGCAATGAAATCTGCTTCGAGGAAAGATTGACTTCCGTTGTTTTGGGTGGTACTTGGACCTGGTGCTGACGAAGGCTCCGCGTCTTGCGAATCTTTCGTGTTTGCACCTTTGGGATTTGAAGGACCAGCTTCGGGCTGTGCATCAGCCTTCTCTTTCCTCTTCTTGTTCTTCCGTCGCGCCTTGCGGTTTTCGTTCGAGCTTGAAGCACCTACTGAAGTTGCCCTGGAAGCGGAAGGTGTGGCGTTGACAGGTGTCGTTGAGGGTTCTTTCGGCCCTGGTGGTACAGCAGCCATGATGAAGGTAGTGAGGAGCCAAGTGAGACAGACAATAGCACTTAGTAGTATGTAGGCGACAAGAGAAATCAGCAGTCACTATAGAGTCTAAACAGAAATGGAAAGTGGCTGTCCGTATATGGTAGTGTGCTTATTTGGCAAGAGCTTCTCAGCCAAGCAACTCTGCCTCTAGGTGCTGGGTTGATGGATCTAGATGCTTATTTCACCATCGGATATGGTGTAGTGGCTAACATTATCGCCTCTCATGTGGAACGCGATAGCCCGGGGTTCAATTCCCCGTATCCGAATTGCATCGTGCTTTTTATGATGCGGGCCAATGTATTGGAGCTTGAAGCTTGTAACTTTAAAACCTGATTCTCCTACGACTTCACAAAACCAATTCGTCTTAGGATAGAAAAATGAGATAGTGCGCAGCCAAGCTATATTAATAAATAAGCGTATGTACAAAAACATTGTTTATCCTCAAAACTATGCAAGGCATTGTCAGTAAAGATCGATACATGTATATTTCATGATACGTACTCTGATTTGGTATGATCCACTGGCTTTCGTCAAATATCTAACCCACTTAATACTATTGTAACCGCTTTTCTCAAACACCTTGAGGAAGCGGACGATTAGACCCGAGGCAGTGAACATCAGGACCTGGAAGTCCACATCGATAGGCGGTCGTGCCCAGACCTGTCGATGAGTGGTGCTAGTCAGGGAGGCGGTTCCAGAGAAGGAAACTTCTTGTCCTCCTTGGATGCGAGGTATCCTAAAATTGATTGAATACTTGAGATGGCCGTGAGATGGGAATGGGTGCTAAGACGTACTTCCACACGACGACATTCTCCGCAGGGACGTACTTGGCTTTGCCAGTTGCAACTTTGGAATCGACGCTAGTAGTGTTTAGTGGCGTTGGTATCCGAATAACGACATTAGTAGCGGAGAGTTTGTTCCCAAAGTTGGTCTTCACTGTGACAATGTACGACACTTGTGATGTACCAATTTCGTTGACCGTAGGAATAACCCTCAACGGGAGTTTGACATTAGATGTTGATCGGTACCTATGAGGATGAGTCAGAAAATGCGGTCGGTACCTGGGGCACAGGGGCAACACTTACTTCATCAATTCGAACTCGCCGTCCGGCGGAATGAAGCTAATCGTCCGTGTTGAATCAAACTCGTCCAATTTGACACATTGATGGAACCTGCAATCATCGAGCTCCACCGCGTCCCCTATACCACGCTCATTCTTGTCGATCACGAGTTTATCATTCAGGCCAAACTTGCATTCCGGTGTTCCTGACAAGTAGGCACGCATGAGGATATGGCCGTCGACATCGGCGCGAAGCACTGTGCCTTTAGCACTCATGCTAAGGTTTACGGTCTCCACAACGTCAACAAAGGCTTCGTTCTTCTTGTACTTGACATCACCGCGACGCCAGCTAATTGCACCCGTTGCTTGAGTTGTGATCTTGGATGATTCCTCCTATACTCGATAATAGTGGTCAGTTTAGAAATCATAGTAGATAGGTAGGAATGATATTACGGCGGCTAAATTCGTAGACATTACACTTTCTGTCGTAATGTAAGTCTTGAGGGTATCAATCTCGCTGTTCTGAGGATATCCGAAATCGATAATTTCTGTAATGCTGTCAGCATCGGTAAGGATGAATACCATAGTATAATATACCATCAATAAGTTCATATATAAGAACGAAATTGTTCTTGACAGACTCTTCATCGACCTTTCCGAAGTACGACTTGGCAATCGCGTTGAAACGATAGCAATATTCAAAGACGAGCGCGGCGTTGGCGTTGCACCTGGTGCTAGATTAGCAATACGGAATATGGATAGCCTGATACTTCTACTCACTTGGTGACCGCCACAACGTATAGGTTATTCACTCGGACATGAAAGAAACTGGTGGATCCAAGGGTGATGATTGGTGACCGCACATCACTATTCGAGATGACTTGGATACGGAATACGTCGGCGATGGAACGTCTATATCGGACTTAGAGTCATGTTTCGAGATTACAAGAAGCACCGTTGTGAACATACTTCAAGTCCGTTCGGTATAACCTTGAGATGAGAACCTATAAAGCGTCTGTCCTACATGTTCTTGCATTCAATTAGAACCCCGCCGAACGGTACGTACCTCTCCTTTTTGGTTAAAGATAAAGAATGCCTACGGAATTATCTCAGCATCAGATAATCACAATTCAAATATGCACTTACAGAGATCATGGGGTATATTCCTCGTCGAATTCGAGCTGTGGTTGTCCGAGTGCGAGCGAGTGTGTATGGGGAAAAGAAGCGCTCTCGATCATTAGAGAAGAGACGCGCAGTAAGTCCCGGTCGGGCCGGATCAGTCGGTCGTGGAGGAGCTGAGGGCTGTTGCTACTGTCTCTTCCTTCTTTGTGCTGTCGTACGGGAGGTTCACCACCATCTGTCCTTGGAGTGGTGCAGAACTCAGGTACCGAGGTTTTTTCCTGAACCACTGGCTCGGATTTCATGCGGTACAGCTGTCGACATCATGGGAGATGGCGGTATGAAACGGTGTGGTCCCTTTGAATGGAGCTTAGATTACACGTACTAACTTTGGACCGTCCGCAGGCCATACGGTGTGTATGGTAGCCCAGACAAGGTGTTTGTGCGGAGTTGTTCCTTTAGACTTGCTTCTCTTGCACATCCACCTTCTGAATTTAGCCCATTTCGATCAACGGCAGAAACTGCTGACCCCTTAGAAGTGTCTCGAAATTTCACTTTGATTCAATTGAAAATCCGTTAGAAACTTCTGGTTACGCAGAAGCAGGGATCAATGACTCTCCCAGTATGGTTCGTCAAGTACTAATAGGTCCCGGCGGTATTCACGGACAATCGTCGGGTACGTGACCATTGGCTACACATTGGGTATTGCGTATAAGAATCTCCATCGGCTGTCGTGAAGCTGTCTCCTCCCCTGCCTCGTCCGTGGTCGTCCGGCGGTGCTTACAAGGCGCAGAGAGAAGAGGTAAGACCATTGCCCTTGATTATCATTATCTGCCAGGAAAATAATTGTTAGCCCTGTTCTCGACCCATCTTAGTAGCCTTTATCTTGTCTTCCCGCTTTCTCCGGTACCAGCCTCTTCTTGTCACAGGCCCTTGTCTCGAGTATTGAGTCCCTATCTGATACAATGGTATCAATATTTTGGCAGCTGTTGCTAGTATTCAGTACAGCCACGTTCGTTTCAGCGAAATGGAATACAACTAAGTTCCTATTCACTTTCGGCGACTCTTACACTACCGACGGCTTTAATATTTCGGCCGGTGTAGGCTCACCAGTACCCGGATTTGTACGCGATTATCGATTCCCTCATCCGTATTTACAATACCAAATCTGATTGTCCAGACTTCCTCTAATGGTCAAAACTGGGTACAATTCCTTGGTATGACACCATTCCAGTGCTTGTCAGATAACGATGTATTCAATCCTCGAAAACCCCTCCAGGTGGAACATACAACATCACAAATACGAAGGTCCGTTCTTCGCTTCTGAATGGTCGCACGTCTGACGTTTGTTTACACGCCGCGAACACCAGGTCTTCGACCTTGCATCTGGTGGCGCAACAATCGACGCTGCGCTCGTAGCGCCATTCGAACCCACTGTGCTGTATGCCACCATTCATATCGTGTTATCCGAGATTTGACAGTCATCAATCCCGTTTCTGGTTTCCTTCTTTCCTAGTTCGATCGTCGACCAAGTCGGGCAGTTCAATAGAATTTTGGCGCCTAGACCTGTGGGTGCAGAATGGAACGCGTCAAACAGTCTCTTCGCGTTTTGGATCGGAATTAATGACGTGGTTCGTAACATTCTTAAGATCTATATTTGATTTTTCTGCTCGCTCATCCAAGCTGTCCGTAAAAGGGAAATTCGTTTGGCTGGGTACGTTGGAATGAATACAGACTCATCATTATCCTTACTCACCGGACGTATCAGACTAATGTAACATCACAAAGCGATTTTCATCGCATTCTAATGCAAAGATTATTCAGCCAGGTGATTTCTCCATTTCCTACTAATATTTACCAAGATAAATCAAGCTCATTCCTTTTTTCTCCGTTTCAGGTGGACAGCCTTGTAAAAGACGGCGCCCGACAGTTTTTATTTTTGACAGTCCCACCTACGAATCGCGCCCCGTTACTGATTGATCAAGGACCTAAAGTTGTAGCCAGTATCACCGCTGCATTGGCAGATTACAACAACCAACTCGTCGCCAATGTGAAATCACTGACACAGCGACATCGGGGCGTCACGGCAAATATCTTCGACACAAGGCCTATCTTCAACACGCTCCTGGACAACGCTGATACTTTCGGATTTGTCAATTCCACTGGCTTTTGCGATGCCTACCAAAACGGTACACCGGACATCAATACACAGATCCCACCCTGTGCCCCGGTGTCAAGCTATTTGTGAGTACATGTCAAGAAAGCGCATGGCAACACCCCCTTCTTATGCGTATTTTTGTTTTATTTTCTGCGCAGCTGGTTGAACTCCCTGCATCCATTGTTCACGGTCCACAAGTAAGCCGATGGATTCAATTTTTTAGTACATGTGTTGACTTATTTGGTCCGTAGCATCTTGGCAAAAGCTATAGCAACTTTTTTGAGTACCTAAGGCACATTGACCCCGGAGATTGTCAATTTTAAAATAGCGAGAGAAGAATAAAATAACCACGAATATGAGAACTCCGTTCATAAAAGCTTGAAAGGTATACCTGTATGTCCATCGTATGTCCGTTTACCTCCAGTATGGGAGTACAACAAATTACAATGCGCGCGGTATTAATCCGTCGACGTATTGAGACGGTGATGTCGGGGTATAGAATCTCAGTGGGAAGATCGCAATGGAGTTACCCATGCTCTCTTCCCAGTGGCAAAAATACACGCTCTGACGGTTCCTTAACTCGTTGTGTGTGGTGTGACGTCTCAAGGTGAACGACCCAGACATGAGGTACCATCACTCTAATTCTAGAGGTAACCTAGGTGGTCCTCCTTACTGAGAAGCCCAGGCAAATGCTCTGGAGCCTTGCCTAGAAGTCTAAAAAATTCAGGTGCATCTCCATCGAGGCTGAAAACATTTTCTATTGAAATAGCAAGGACTCGGAGAGGTTGGTCGTTGAGAGTCCCTGAGGAATGCAGGTTCCTGTGGAGTCTCACTCCCATGGAAGACTCATGTTACAAGGATGTGCTCATGCTTAGGGGTTATGGCAATTCCGAGTCGCCGATCGCGGCAGGTGGGGGTAGAAACATACC